GAGGAGAAGTTCCTTCTTTGTTTTCTGGTTTCAAGTTTGTGAGAAAGGCAAAACTGATTGAACGGGTATTGTTTTTGATTCACACCGAAAACTGTTGAACTATGAGAAAATGTGTTACCTTATTGATTTGGAAAATAAAGTTTCGATGCCATGGAAGACGTGGCGGGAAGCGGGGAGGTTGACTATGTACAAAATAACGCACACGAGGCTCCGGGAAAACAATGGATAATCTTGATTTATTCTTCATTTCCCCGTAGCTTTGTCTGCAATTCTTTTGTGCATGGTCACTGAACCAAAATATCTGAAGTCGGCTATTCACGTGCATTGTTGCTGGCAGTTTATTCATTACTGGGGTCAGAAGTTATATAGATTAGAATATATTGAGGATATTAATACCAAACGATTTTTCTATTGAATCACGACGAACATGCATGAAAACCTGAAGTTCTAGGAAGGAAAAGAGCAAACCATAAGTCCTAGATTATAAGATGTAATAGAGCTAACACGGCAACAGCTTTGGWAATAATTACACAGCGAAAAGAAACTCGTGGGTAGTAAGCGCCAACCTCGTTCACAGGCCCTTAAATGCTACCATCCCTCGCATCCTTCCCTTCATCATCATATGAGAGGACGGCATTATTTTCACATGGGGCGAAAAAGGTGGAAAAAGGGTCACCACATGTATTCTTCGTTTTCAGGCTACGTCACAGCAGCCATCAAAGAGAAACATTAACAAAGGGATTTTCATTAGTATATATTTCTCATTCCTCCGACATKGYCGCCGGTCTTTWATCTTTTGAATYTCATTGGAATRRTTSAAAACGATCAATAGRTCCCTTTATTGCTCCCCGTCTAAAGCGTCACTGCAGTTTTCAGAGCTCATTGTACATTCAAATTAAAAACCATGGCACTGGACATTGACAAGATGGAAAACTATTTAGGAGGCATCTCCGCCAGCGCTAAGAATTAACGMAAATCAATATCATAATCCTGATAAGATAATCACCGTTTTCCAATAACTTGATTTTTGAATAAAATGAACGTAGAAAAGCCGCCGAGAAGATGATGGATGCAGTGKTTCTTTCCGACCTCAGCAAGCACAACACAACTTTAATGTTTATATTAAATTTCCACCAGCAATTGAACTTTACTCTTTGTGGCTTTGGCCGCAAACTCTTCCGACTTAAATTTGCATTTATTCATGCATTTTATTTGATAATTCGGTGGCGGGTAAAGTAAAGGTTTTTCCTAAAGAGTGAGTAGTAACACGAGGCGTTGTCAGCTATTATAATTGCATTTTACAGATTTTGAACACGGTTACCTTCAAAGATGGCGCTGTGAATAAGTCGTGAAGGAGACAATTAAAGAGAATAATTTTCTACCTTAACTTAATAATTTTCACAGTGAATGAAGAGAAATAAGCTTTTAATCACTATAGCAGCCATGATGGTTTTCATTCTTTTTCACTAATTGAAATTAGTCAAGCTATATTCTAAGATATTGTTAATAATTTTCAAAGTTATTCACTATAGCAGCCATGATGTTTTTCATTCTTGTTCAGTAATTTAAATTAGTTAAGCTATATTCTAAGATAATGTTAGCATTCAGCCTGCTCAGTCGCACCCCATAAAAAAAAAAAAAAAAAAAAAAAAAAACACTACGCGCGCGACGAGTAAACTCGTTCCCATGCCCTTATCCCTTTTTGGAGGGTCAGGTGGGAAAAGACCTGAGAACGAGGTTATGCGATTACACCAAAGAGGATCATGGGTAGAAATATTTCAACATTAATAACAAAACGTGGAATATCCTTGATCACGATTGATAAATAAGCCAATGAGAATAAACTGAAGTTTTTAGTCTCCATTGTTCCCGAAATGCATGCTATTTACTCATACCCCTTTTCGCCCTAACACGTCAGCACGAAAGCGAGTGGGAAATTTCTATTTGATACATTCTCCAAACTAATCAGCCATGCAAATTTCCCGCCAAAAGTTCGCGCCATGTTAGTGGGGGCAAATTCCATGTTAGTSGGGGCAAATTCTTTGTAATTGCCATTTGAGAACTTTCAAAACATTACTCTAGACTATTAATTCCAAATTGTACTCAAAGTCGTGTAATTTCCTATACAATTTTTTGGGGGGGTCTCCCATGCTCCCTTTTAGTCTGAGCTATGGTGATGTAATCGATGACGTAACCGGCTTTATTAGTTTATTTGAACCATCGGTTCCATCCTCAGTTTCGCAGCCAAAYTCTAGTTGGACAATTCTCATTATCACAATTTAGAAATGAGCCAATTCCAAAGTTTTCTTTTTCATTTGAGTTCGTATCCTACTTATTCACAACCCAGGGCTTTTATCAGTGCTTTCTTCCCGGCGCATATAAATTAAGATCTGTCCCACTTATCTAATCGCATCAGGACTCTTTAGTAAGTGCATCGTAAATGTCGATAAAAAATTGGCAGAAATAATTGAATGCAGACCAAAAACTGAAAACCATTTGAATGCTTATTCAAAATTTGACATTTGATTGACAGTCGCCAGGACAATGGATGCTATCTATCAGCAATTTAACTGGCGCTGGTTGTTGAGTGATATACTCTTTGTTCCAATCTATTCCGCTGAGATATCAGAGCTAACGATGCTTGCCACCACCCGTATTTCAAATCTGATTGGTTATTTAACTCAAACGTGCGGGTTTTATCAAATTTAGGGAATAGTAACGTAATTGACGATAGCTCACTCACTCATATTATCCCAAATCCCGAATTAAGGACAAGAATTTTACATCCTTTCACATTAAATCGCGTCTTTTTGGTGTTTCCTTTTTCAAGTTACACGGAATACTATCGAAGACGCAAAGAACGCTAATTTAGTATTCTAGATGTCAGGTTTGAAATGAAGTAATCTATTCAAGCCAAGACTGCTTCGCTCACAAGAGGATTTCTAATATGCTTGCCAGGGAATTTTTTTAGATGGATTTCGATTTGACCGACTCAGCTCTAGACAGCAAACTCTGCCTCATTGTCATTTTAATATGTCGACTTTGCTTTGTCCCTTCAAACACAATATTTCAATTAACCAGTGTTCATACATAATCGCTGGCAGCAAAACATTTAAATAAGTAATCAAGAAAAAGAGCCGACTCGAGACGATTCGTGAATCTTCAGATCATGAATTTGTGTACGGAGAGTACGGCCACATTTTCATGGAGTTATTTCATATGTTGCTTAATCTCAATGAAAAATAAAATCATCTACTTGATTTTTGTTTATGTAGGCTTTTGAATACAAAAAAACTTCAGTTCAATGTGACACCAGTTGGAGCCCCAAACATCAGGTAATATTTGAAGCCGCTATTCTCGCGCTAAAGACCTCGGAGGCTTTGTTGAAAGAGGGTTTTCTTAACATAAAAGTTTTTCTTGAGGATTATTCAATAAATAGCCGTTCAAAGCGGAAATAGCTGATAATCAAACAATCCATTGAAATTACTCCCAGAAAAAAGAAAGAAAACACAATGAAATATAYGAATGCATTCAAATGAGGCGTTATCCCCTTGCCGAAGTCACGCCGATTATGTGCCGACAGGTGCCGATTGTGCGCCGTCATGCCGAAAGAAGCCGAATGTAAATTTGTAAATACACCAAATCAAGTTTGGAATTATGATTTGTTGTGGTTTCGTTCGGAGTTTTTCAAGGCTTTTGCAAACCTGCTTCATTTAGAAATGACTTAAAACCGTGTGCCATCATGGAAACTAGACAAGGCATGAAAAAATATTGCTAAAATGGACGTCCATTTAAGATAGTTCGTGTATTTTTCGCGTGGGTTGGTCATTCATTCGCCCTAAAGAACTCGCGAGGCAAAAAACTTGCTTCGTTCTCCTCTTCGTGAATCCTGAAAAACATGTCAGGGATGCGAGGCCCTTCGTCTCCTCCGCCTCCAGATCTTTCTCACCTTACYGAAGAAGAAAGAGCAATCATTTTGGGTGTCATGAATCGGCAAAAAAACCTTGATTATCAGACACAAGAAATGCAAAAGTAAGTCTGTGAACCGACCCGRCGCACTACGAAAGGCAAGGCTCGCGATGGCGGTCAAAATCGTCAGCTCCGCGAAATTTTATTTTTTAATCCCACAGATATTAATTGTTAGTTTATCATCTTTGGTAGGCTTTTAGGCAGTACATTTACTGGTTTTCTTGTGGTATTGCTGACGGAATGAAGTGGTACAGAGAGCTGTGAGGGTAGTGTTAAATTTTATTTTCATTCACACACAGGCAAATGCTCAAAGAAGTCGCAACGTATGAGAATCAAATGGAGAAAAAAACCGAGTTGAGCCAACGAAGCGTCGACCCTAATGTCTGCGAGGTTTGCCATAAGACTAAATTCACAGAAGGTACAGGCAAGGAGTGCAAATACTGTAAATTAAAATGCTGTTCTCGATGCATCGTCGAAGTCTCGATACCCGGAGCCAAACAGGTAGGTCTAATAAGAAGAGAAATTGTAGAACTACTCTTTTTTCCCGCTAAATTTCAACTTTATTTCAGTAGCTCCCTTGGAGAGTAAGTCAGCATTATTTTTAATGCAAAGTGAGGATCAACTGAATATGAACAAAACTTGATTTTTTTGTTTGTGTGACAAGTCTTTATTTCTCAAGTCAAATAACTCACGTATTTTTTTCCTTTTTTTCATCCCACTACTTTGCATGTGTCTATGACTCGATCTCCGACTACACCAGACAACGGTGAGTTATATTTTAACTTTTTGGATAACACTTGTTTTATGCTATCATTTGAAGCTCGCTAGAGCCCTAGACAGAGAAATTAAACTAGGGAATTTTATCCAAASTGAGGGTAAACAGACTTGACACTTTTGGCTTCCTTATAAATATTTTAAGCCAAGCAGAGAGTGTGGCTCGCAAAATACAGTCTTGACTGCCTAATGAAATTGTCTTATCTTCAAAAACCATCGCATTTTTGCAACTATTTAACCGAAGGAGCGAAGAAAATTGTATCTTTTCTTTTTGCCTAGAAAAAGTTGCTACAAGAATTTGCTTCGCGTAGCAATTTTCAAATGCAACTTGGCAAAAGGAGAAATACAAACATTTCGCGCTAATTCAAATTTTTTGTGCGTGATATTATTTCAAACCATCTTTGAATTCAGTAACAAGAGGGTGAAAACTCGGTGGTTTTTGAGAATAGTGAGGTAGTTTTAGCTTTTGACTTTGATTTTAATACAAATACAACACAATTTATGCAGAAGATTTGAAGCAAGTCGTACATATTGCCAGGTGAAATAAAAATCGTCCCACCCATTTTTAAACAATTTTTTTCAAAATTCATCCGAAATTCCGTTCGGTCTATACTTACTGAAACAGTTACATATTCTTTATTTTTGGTCAAATGATGAACCATAATGTAAAAATATCTTGAAGTTCATGAAACCTAGATGGCATTGTTCAAATCCAAAATAAAAATCATTTTGCTGAACAAAGTGGGAAATTTTTTCCCCCTCTAAGAAAGACATAACATTTTATTTTTAGATTTTAGAGGCAACAATGTGCTTGAAGTTTGAACATTGGGTGTCTGGTGTGGTTCTTGGTTGACAATTGACCTAATGAACCTACAGAAAAACCCCAAAATTAATTCCACATATGAATTTATCTATAATAGACCAACATGTTTGCTTTAAACATTAGGGGCAACCTTTCATATAAGTACTGTTATGTCTCCCTTGTCAGGAATTCTGATGACTGATTATATCGTATCTTAATTGGACTTTATTTCATGATTAAATTAGGAGATTTTCCACCTAAAAGTTATCATCGCTTAAGTCATTGTATAAATGAGTTTTTGTCCTAGAATATCAAGGTTTTAAGATGACTTTGTGAATTGTGAAAGATTGGTGAAGTTCATGAGATAAGATTGTAGCCATTCAGAGTGTTTTCTGAGATGCAAAGAGATACATTTGGTTGCTTGCAGTACATGAAATTATAATTATCAGTATCTTCCAGAACATGACAATATATTTTACCATATTATAACTTTCTATGTGTATTTTACTAAGAACGGTCTCATATTAAGAACTAGAAGTATGCATTTTATGACCTTATTTTATCTTGAGCTGATATGCTTGTATTTGTTATATAAAATAAGTCAACATTATCTTTTTATTGCGTAGCAGTATGTATGAAAATCTCAGTTAACGTAATCATTCAAAATAAACTAAGTGTAAACAGCATTTGAAACAGAAAATAGATATAACAACTAGATAATCAAACTCTGCTCCTAATTCTACCAGACGAGTATTAAAATGTTGATAGCTTATGGTCTTCCATGGACTCGAGAGCCATTTAGCCTTAAAAAACTAGTTTCATTTATCAAAAAAACTTTCAGTTGGACTAAATCTACAATTAATTCAAATACACTCTTATGAATACATAAGTTATCTTTAGAATTATTCTTGTGAATGATTATAACAGTCTCGTATGACGTCAAGGATTTGAAAAATCTTTAATTTTAAATAAATTTAACATAATGTTCATTTTAGTAAGATCCAATTATTGCCCACTGGGCAGTTTTTTACTCATCGGCATCCTCTATTATTGAAGAATTTTGCATCTTTTTCACAGTTAGCATTGAATAAGGAAAGAAAATTCAGTGTAACTTGAGGAAAATCCCACTTCACAGTAGTGTATTTTCTAGCTCAAATTGTAGTAAGGTGTCATATAGTATATCTAACCAAAGTTGTACCAGTGACAGACTTCTCTTTTAGCTACCCTGTCACTCATAAGGGAAATATCATTGCTTTAGTCAAACTACCACTGGAAAACAGTAGTCAAAACATGGCAATTCTACGAAAGAATTCAATATTAGTTCCATCATTCGAATACTGATTCTTTATTCCTTTTCATTCTTAAAATTCATTATCAATTGGAATCTTGGAGAGATTTCTTTTGCCATCACCTCAAGGATTTGTGTTTATTAAGATATTTAATGAAAATTGAAGTGAAATGGCAACACAGGTATAACTTTCATTATTTTTTTCAATTGGACTTTGTCCTTGATTCACTAAATTGAAATAATTTTCAAGTTGGTTTAATCACCTCTCAGTCTTCAGTTGAAGCTAAAATGTTAATGTATTCAAATTAAATTATGTGCTGCTTCTACTTGCACATGACCTACTGTAACTGCATTATTGCGCTATAATGCTGCCGCAATATTGAAGTTTTAATTTTCTTTGTTATAATATATGCTATTGACATTGTTACGGCTGAAACTCTTTTCTGATGCTATAAAAAAACTCTGAAAGATCCGTCTTTAGTGTTTGAAAAGTGTTGATAACTATAAATATCTCACATTTAAATGTCAAAAATGGTATTACGTCATGGCTGTCAGTATGGGAGACTAATGMTGAAACATGGAAACAAGGCCTAAAAAACCTAATATCAAGACAAACACTGCAAAAATTGCATTTGCGGCAGTGTCATTAATGGTATGTCATTTATGCTAGAGTACCTGAGAAGACACTATAACATGTCAAGGTTACTATACCAAGACTGACCTGATTTTCATGTTTTGTCCCCAGTCCCCCCCCCCCCCCCCCCCCCCCCCCCATACCATGACATGCTATAATGGTGGGAACTAGTGGTAAACTAGTGTGAGCTGCGTCGGTGTTTCAAAAGAAACACTTGTGTAAAAAGATAAATTTAACACCATAAAAAAGTATGTGAAATAACTTACTGACGTTTCGGACGTTAATCCTTTGTCCGAGTAAAGAGATGGAACTAGGTATAGTTAGTTCTATCTCTTTACTCCGATGAAGGATTAACCTCCGAAACGTCAGTAACTAAGTTATTTCACATATTTTTTTTTTTACGGTGTTAAATTTATCTTTTTACACAACTCCACGACATGCTAACACAATTTTTGAAGGTTGTGTATTTATTAACGTTTTTCATTAATGATGAGAAAGCAAAATTGAGAAGCATGAAAACATACATTTAATTTAGCTTAGCCTAAATATACAATTAACCTTAACATGTATATTGGATATTGTTGACTTTTCACAGTTTTTGCAAAACACCTACAATATACTTATTTACTTCAACTTAATGTGTTAWTCTAAATAGAGTGAATAATTTAATACTATTATACCATTTTGAGAGTGAAAACATGTGGTCTAGAATTTTCTAGAGTATACATCTGATCTTGMAAAATATTGTCATAAAAAAGAACATATTTTATTTTGTAGGTTACAAAGTAATAAGAAGGAATAAATAAAGACAAAAGAAAATCATGTATGAATGCTTTCTTTTTGTCTTTTTAAATTGCTATTTTTTTAAAATATTRTACCTAGTTGGAATCTTAATAATATAGAATATTTAGTGATTTTTACTCCAAAGACTGTTTTTAACCACTTTTTTAGTGAAAATTATCCGCAATGCAACCAATTATTGTTAATACTTACAATGTATTAATAGATATTTTCAGATTTTTGTTAAACACTTTATTATAATTAAGATATATAGTTTAATAATGTGTATGTGTATAGTGAGGTAAGAAAAATATGCTTTTGAATACTAAAAGATATTCACAAAAKTATATTAAATTTTTGCAATATTATTCTAAAAGTCATAGAAAWTGCAAAACTTACTAAATAAGGGTAAGGTATCCAATGAAAAAAAAACTATAAATAAAATATGCTGCTGCATTAACAGCACATTTTCAGATTGTTTTCAAATAATGATATTCATAATTAGTGAATCTACTAACAGTACTACAGTTAGTAAAAATGCACAATGTAATCATGTATTCTCTTTAAATATTTGCATCTCGCATTAGTCACACTTAATAAATGGCATTATTATTTTGAAAACAGGCAACAACAAAAACACTTAAAACACTTAATTAAAACAAGCTGGCTTCTTTACAGCAAATAGTTTGTGAAGAGATGATTATTTGTGTGCAAATTGCCAAAYATTACAATATCATTCAAAAAATATCATAACAACTGAATATTCTTACTACCAAGTTTTCATGATTTTTATATTAAAAGAACAATTAATGTAACTAAAAACGATAAACACCTTTTTGCATTTGAATGCAAGTCTCTGTGCATGCACAAATTCCCAAAGGTGTAAAAATCTAAGCTTTAATTTATGCAATGGATTTTCTCAACTTTTTTTTATCCATTCAAAATCTGTTTCCATTCATCAGTTTTAAGATGGACTGTCTCCATTCATAGAACATAAAGTAATATAATACGATTTTTTTTTCTAAAAACCTTGCAAGGGGTGCTGGTTGACAATGGCACTTCATAATTTCATAATTTACTTATTTCTATATTATTTATTAGCAATAACCCATTCAATAAGTACCCTGSGACCCTGTTATTAATGAAGGGCAAAGAGTACTATCGGCACTGCTTAAATCCTTATCCAGCAGCATATAAAATCTATGCAAAATATATGAAGTGGATAACTAATTGCCATGATTATAGTYAAAATTGCTGGAGAAAATTACACTGTGTAACGAGGCCAAGCTGTTTTTTTGACAACCTACTTTGCAATGCAGTTGCCAGGCACGTTGTGGAGAAAATTGTATAACAACACCTTAAATAAACATTAACAATATAGATCCTCTCAACTAATACAACCTATGCAGGGGTTCAATAATAGGCAACTATCAGTGGTATATACCTCTTACTACCAGTAATTTTGTGTCTTACTTAATAAAAATGATTGTAAATTGTTTGGGACGCAGCTGCCTACTTCATTCACTTGGATGATTATTCAAAAGATAATAAAATCTCTGCCTATGAAAGCAGAATTTATAAGAGATATTTCTGCCGCTATAGATGTTATTAAATATTAGCTTATTATCAATTTATTACAGTAGTGCTATCACAAATTTTACTCTGGCAATACCTTATTAAGATTCCAATGTCAAGTTTACTAGTAGGTGCGTTTTATAATTATAAGATATTGGCGCTGTAGCTTGTGTACACAATATTCAAACAAGTATAGGGTAACCTAGGAAACCWCTCCAGAAGGCATAGTTTAGTTATRTCATAAAGCACAAAAGTGAGCATCGATAATATTATTTTTTTGCACTCTATTGCTTTGTGAGTCTATATAACCACTTTTGAGCAAAATATATTCTATTGAGCTATTTTCCAAACTCAACTTTCCAATTCTTAATAATAATTCTTATCTTTTAATTCAAAGTGAGGAATGTTGACATTTAGGCTTGAAAAGTGATTTAGTAGAGAAAGAATGGTAATTAATCAACAGTGGTCACACTTTGCATTATTATGGTTCTTGTAAAAGGCCAGTGTGCATTTGAGAATCTTTGCATTATTTTCTCACATTAAAAAAATCACTATAATATATAATTTTTGATTTTGAATCAGTTTCAGTTTCAGTTTATTCAAATTCAATTACATATTACAATTACATATATACCTGCAAATAGCATATAGCTAGTCTAGGCAGGTAAATTATATATTACATTAAAAACATTATTTAATTTTGAATCATTCAGAAAGCAACACTTCTAACAATAGACATTATCTTAAAGTGCACATCACCCCTCAAAATTGAACATTTTGAGCAAATTCTA